TGGCTATTGCTTGGCCAATGTGCTCTCTGTGAAAGCCTGAGAGAATGTTTTCTCTCCATGTGACTCTCCTTAGGCACACTCTACATCATCACTTTCCTCTTTGGCCCCATAATCTCCTTGATCAGAAAACTTGGGACACTACTGAGCTACATGATGTTACAGTACAAGTTCTCATATGTCCTGAGTCTTAATTGACCTTGGAAGGTTAGGGCCAAAATTTTGGCTTTCCTTGTAGCCCTCCTTTTTCTCTAATTTTCGTCTGCAATCTTAGGTTGTTAACCCTCCAGCAGAGAAGCTTATTGTTATTACCGTACAACCTAGGCTGTTAAGCTTAACTTCACTATTTGTTTGAATATCAAACATCTTAGGCACAACATGGAACAGGTATTTTTCATCAAGTATTGATATATTGCACTTTAAGTCCCTACAGAATATGAGGAAAAGACATTTAAAAATTAGAACATATTTTAAAAAATAGGCATAAATAATTATATAGTTCATATGTTTACACGTAAGTCCAGAAACCTAACCGTATAAAACTTGTAGCAGGACAGTCCTCCAACATTCCTTTTCCTGTCCTGCCTTCATTAACCACTCCATTCTTTCTGAACAATCATTACCCAAGAGACAGCACAGCAGCAACTGCCATGTCATGACAAGCAGCCCGTATTCAGAAGACCAGAATGACAGGCACTCCAAGCATGAACCTACTATTACAAGTTTCCACCTTCTGTGCAGTTGCTTAGTTCACAGGTATCTGTATATATAATTAGTCAGGGAGAGAAATCTTCCAATTAACTACTAGATTCAAAAATCTCTGAAGATTCTCAGGATCATTGCCTTACCCATCTCCTACATATAACTGTATGGCTTCCACTGTCATGTTTCCTAGCTCTTCTCCTTTCCCTGTCTTAATTATTCAGTCCTCAAGTTCTTGCTTTCCTTTTACTTGTATTATACCTTTCTATTTCTATTTCTTCTTTTGAGTTCTTATACTAGAGAAAATACGATATTTACACATGTGTGTCTGGTTTATTTCACTTAAGAGTATGTCTTCAAGTGTCATCCACTTCAATATAAAGACTTCGACTTCATCATTCTTTATAGCTGAATAATATTTCATTGTATAAAAATACCATATCTTTTTCATCCATTCCTCAGGTGATGGGCATCTTGGTTGTTTCCAAGATTTGGCTATCACAAATTGTGCTGCTATAAACATAGGCACACATATATCACTATGATATGATGTTTTCAGATCCACCAGGAAAATTCCCAGTAGAGGAATAGCTGGTTTAAATGGGATTTCCAGTCCAACTTTTCTAAGGAGTCTCCATACTGATTTCCATAATGGTTGCACCAGCCTCCATTCCCACCAGCAGTGGAGAAGGGTTCCTTTTTCCCAAAAGCCTCTCCAACATTTGTTGTTGGGTGATTTCTTTATGATAGCCATTCTTTCTGGGGTGAGATGATATTTCAATGATTTTTTTTTGTTTGCATTTCATGGTTGGCTAGTGATGTGGAGCATTTTTTTCATATATTTATTCACTTCTTTAACTTCGTCCTCTGAGAGGGCTGTTTTCATCTTGGATGCTCATTTCTGGACTGGGTCTTTAAATTTTAGGGCCCTAGTGTTTTTTTAGTTCTTTATAGATTCTAGAGAGCAGAACTTTGTCTGAGTACTTATTTGTCATAATTTTTTCCAAATTTCTGGGTTGTCTTTTCACTTTGTTGGTAATTTCTTTTGACATGCAAAAACTTCTCAATAAGAGGTGGTCCAAGTTGTTAATTCTTTCAAGTGTTTCCCATGTGATTTGATTTTTGATCATGAACCCTTTGCCTACCCCTATGTCTTCAAGAGTTCCTCGACAATCTTTTCCAGGAGATTTAGTATTTCTGTTTTAATATTTAGATTTTTAATCTACTTTGACTTTAGTTTAGTGCATGGTGTTAGATCTGGGTCAAATTTTAGTTTTTAGCATGTAGAGAGCCAAATTTTCCAGCACCATTGGTTAAAGAGGATATCTTTCTTCCAGTTTGTATGTTTGGCCACTTTTTCAAAGATAAAGTGGCTGAGTGTGTGTAGGAGTTTCAGGGTCTTCTTATCTCTTCTATTGATCGTCAGGTCTATTTCATTGCCTGTGCCATGCTTAATTTATCACAGTAGTCTTGTAGTATAATTTCAAGTCAGGAATTGTAATGCTTCCTATCTTGTCTTTTAGAACAGGATTACCTTTGGTATTCTAGATCTTTTCTGGTTCCAAGTAAATTTTAGGAATGATTCCTCTAGGTCTGGAAGGTATCTTGGTGGTAGTTTGATAGGGATTGCATTAAATCTGTATGGCAATTTTGGGAGTATGGCCGTCTTCACGATGTTGGTTCTTCTTATCCAGGAGCATGGAATATCTTTCCATTTTCTGAAATCCTCTGCCATCTCTTTTTCCAGATTATTGTAATTTTCCTTGAAAAGATCTTTAACTTCTTTAGTTAACTTAATTCTAACATATTTAGCCCGTTTTCTCCGCGCCGCCTGCGATTTGGAGTTTGCTCTCCACACAGTGTGTGCGTTTCCCAGTCGCGTCATCGCTGCTGCCCGCTTGTCTGCTTAACGACACTTTCTCAATCCATCGTTGCCACCATGAACGGACAGCTCAACGGTTTCCACGACGCTTTCATCGAGGAAGGCACGTTCCTCTTCACCTCGAAGTCTGTGGGGGAAGGCCACCCAGATAAGATCTGTGACCAGATCAGTGATGCTGTCCTAGATGCCCACCTTCTGCAGATGCCAAAGTGGCTTGTGAAACTGTTGCTAAAACTGGAATGATCCTTCTTGCTGGGGAAATCACATCCAGGGCTGCTGTTGACTACCAGAAAGTTGTTCGTGAAGCCATTAAGCACATTGGATATGATGATTCTTCCAAAGGGTTTGACTACAAGACTTGCAATGTGCTGGTGGCCTTAGAGCAACAATCACCAGATATTGCTCAAGGTGTTCATCTTGACTGGAATGAAGAAGACATTGGTGCTGGAGACCAGGGCTTAATGTTTGGTTATGCCACTGATGAAACTGAGGAGTGTATGCCCTTAACCATTGTGTTAGCCCACAAGTTAAATGCCAAACTGGCTGAATTACGTCGCAGTGGTACTCTGCCTTGGTTACGCCCAGATTCAAAAACCCAGGTGACTGTGCAGTATATGCAAGATCGTGGTGCTGTGATTCCCATCAGAGTGCACACAATTGTTATATCTGTTCAACATGATGAAGAAGTCTGTCTTGATGAGATGAGAGATGCCCTAAAAGAGAAGGTTATCAAGGCTGTTGTGCCTGCAAAATACCTTGATGAGGATACAATCTACCACCTACAGCCGAGTGGCAGATTTGTTATTGGTGGGCCTCAGGATGATGCTGGTTTGACTGGCCGGAAAATCATTGTGGACACTTACGGTGGTTGGGGAGCTCATGGCGGAGGTGCCTTTTCAGGAAAGGATTATACCAAGGTGGACCGTTCAGCTGCTTATGCTGCTCGTTGGGTGGCAAAGTCTCTTGTTAAAGGAGGTCTGTGCAGGAGGGTTCTTGTACAGGTCTCTTATGCTATTGGAGTTTCTCATCCATTGTCAATCTCCATTTTCCATTATGGTACCTCTCAGAAGAGTGAGAGAGAACTATTAGAGATCATGAAGAATTTTGATCTTCGCCCGGGGGTCATTGTCAGGGATCTGGATCTGAAGAAGCCAATTTATCAGAGGACTGCAGCCTATGGCCACTTTGGTAGGGACAGCTTCCCATGGGAAGTGCCCAAAAAGCTTAAATATTGAAAGTGTTAGCCTTTTTTCCCCAGACTTGTTGGCGTAGGCTACAGAGAAGCCTTCAAGCTCTGAGGGAAAGGGCCCTTCTCCCTAATTTTTCCTGTCCTCTTTCAGCTCCTGATTAGTTGGCAGCCACTCTCTAGTCAATGACATGAATTTTAGCTTTTGTGGGGGACTGTTAAGTTGGGCTTGCTATTCTGTCCCTAGCTGTTTTGTTCACCATTATAATGAATTTAGCGAGCATAGGTGATCCATGTAACTGCCTAGAAACAGACAACACTGTAGTGAATAATGCTTTGAAATTGAACCTTTGTGCCCTGTCACCCAGACCTCCAAAGTCCTTAATTGCGTTGACTTTCCCACCATGCTGAAACTGTCCTTGTAATGTGCACGTAAAGTACTTGTAGTTCCACTAGAGCCTATGTCTGGCAGTGCCACACCCCTATCAGCATGAATTTGTAATGTCTTGAGCGCTATTATGAATGTGAAGCCCTCTAACTCACCCTGTAACTTGGTCCATTTCTAATTATGTAGCTTTGTCAGGGAGTGTTCCCTATCCAGTCAGTCTTGCATGTAACAGCAAGTTCCAGTTGGAGCTCTAGCCTGACATCAAAAAAGGCAGTTACCATTCAGCCATCTCCCTGGTGCTTATGCTCTTAATTGCCGCCTCTAACAGCACCAAATCAAAATCTCTGCTTTTCAGCTGTCTTGGAGGACGTACGTAATAAGGTTTTTAATTTAGTAAAACCAATCCTATGCATGGTTTCAGCACTAGCCAAACCTTACCAACTCTTAGTCTAGAAAAACAGGCACTTGGCACCCTTGTGATGTCATACAGAGAAGTCACAGGGCAGCACCTGAGGGTCTGTAGGTTGCACACTTTGGTACCAGATAACTTTTTTTTTCTTTATAAGAAAGACTGAGTATTCCACACTGCACAATAATTCCTCCCAGGGTTTTAACTTTGTTTTATTTTCAAAACCAGGTCCAATGAGCTTTCTGAACAGCTGGTGTAGCTACAGAGAAACCAGCTTTCTTCAGAGAGCAGTGCTTTTGGCGGGGAGGAGGAAATCCCTTCATACTTGAACATTTTCTAATTGCTTATTTATTGTATTCTGAGGTATGGCGTAAGTACAGAGAAGCCATCGCCTCAGATGGCAGCTTTTAAATTTTTTTTTTTTTTTTTCCTCAACACCATGATTCCTTTAACAACATGTTTCCAGCATTCCCAGGTAGGCCAAGGTGTCCTACAGAAAAACCTTGGGTTAGACCTACAGGGGGTCTGGCTGGTGTTACAGAAGGGAGGGCAGAGCTGGTGCAGCTGGCCATGGAGAAAGCTGACTTGGCTGTTGTGGTACAGAGAAGCCAGCTTGTTTACATGCTTATTCCATGACTGCTTGCCCTAAGCAGAAAGTGCCTTTCAGGATCTATTTTTGGAGGTTTATTACGTATGTCTGGTTCTCAATTCCAACAGTTTAATGAAGATCTAAATAAAATGCTAGGTTCTACCCTAAAAAAAAAAAAATTCTAACATATTTAATCTTCCTCAGTGGTATTGTAAAGGTATTGTTTATATAATTTCTCACTCAGTGTTTGTGTAGAGGAATGCTATTGACTTTTGGGTATTGACTCTAAAACCTGCTATGGTACTGCATTTCTGTATTAATTCTAGTAGCTTCTTGATGGAGGTTTTTGGGTCTTCCAAGTAAAGTATCATGTCATCTGCAAATAATGATAATTTAACTTCTTCTTTACCTATTCTTATTCCTTTTATTTCTTTCTCTTGTCTAATGGCTGTAGCTAATGATTCCAGAACTATATTGAATAGGAGTGGTGATAGTGGTCATCCTTGTCTTGTACCAGATCTAAGATTAAAAGATTTCAGTTTTTCTCCATTTAGAATTATGTTACCCATTGGATTGTCATAAATAGCTTTTACCAGATTGAAGTAGAGGCCATCTATTTCAATTTTCTGTAGAACTTTGAACATGAATGAGTGTTGGACTTTGTCAAAAGCCTTTTCTGCATCAATGGAGAAGATCATGTGGTTTTTAGTTTTGCTCTACTGATATAGTGTATTACATTTATAGATTTTTGAATATGGAACCATCCTTGCATCTCTGGGATGAATCCTACCTAGTCATGGTGTATGATCTTCTTGATGATTTGCTGCATTTTATTTACTAGAATTTTATTGAGAATTTTTGCATCTATGTTCATGAGGGAGATTGGCTTGTGGTTGTCCTTCTTAGTTGCATCTTTCCCTGGTTTTGGTATCAATATAATACTTGCCTCCAGGAATACTTTTGGGAGGATTGCATCCTTTTCAATTTCATAGAAGACTTTGAGGAGTATAGGGACTACATCTTCTGTACATTTCTTGTAGAATTCAGCTGTGAATCCATCCAGACATGGACTTTTCTTTGTCACTAAGTTTTTTATTACATCTTTTATTTCATTGGCTGTTATTGGGCTATTGAGAGTGGTTTTATCTTGTCCATTCATTTTTGGGAATTTGTACCTTTCTCGGAATCTGTCCATTTCTTCTATGTGTTATATTCTATGAGAGTAAAGATTCTCATAGTAGCTATTTATAATCTTCTGCATTTCCACTGGGTCTGTGGTAATTACACACTTTTCATTCTTTATTGCTTGTATTTGAATTTTTTCTTTCCTCTTTTTGATGAGGTTAGCTAGGGGCTTATCAATTTTATTTAATCTTTCAAAGAACCAAGGGGCCGGGGAGATGGCTCAGTAGGATAAGCGCTTGCCTGCCAAATGCAAGGACCTGAGTTCAATCCCTGGTTCCACCAAAACAAACAAACAAACAAACAAAAAAAAAAAAAACCCAAAGAACCAGCTTTTTGCTTTTTTAATTCTTTGAATTGTTTTCTTCATCTCAATTGAATTAATTTCTGCTCTGATCTTTACTATTTCTTCCCATCTTTGGGCTCTGGGTTTGGTTTGCTCTTCCTTTTCTAGTTGTTGTAGGTGCAACAAGAGGGTATTTATTTGTTCCCATTCTGTTTTCCTAATGTCTGAGTTCACATCTATGAATTTCTGCCTGAGAACTGATTTCATCGTATCCCATAAATTCCAATAAGTTGTGCTTGAATTTCCATTGAATTGTAGATATTGTTGAATTTCTTGTTTAATTCCATCTGTGACCTATTGGTTGTTGAGTAGAGTGTTGCTTAACTATATATATTTAGGTTTTTTTTTTTTTT